TGTAGAAGCCATCAACAAGTGGCAGGATTCACTGAAAAGTATGCAGCCTACCTCTAGCTTAAAATGTTTTTAATTTTACACTGCTTACCCGTCTATTTTGATTTTTCATCCTCTCTCCCCCAAATAGACTCCTACGAACAAGTATATCGCAACAACATGACTATAGAAGGCGCTCAACTTACAGAATCCACCATGAACGCATCGTTACCACCCCCGGCGGACTCGCCTATTCCACCTGATTCCATTGATACCATGTGCATGCTCCTGAATAACGATCCTGCGAGCGGGGATCATGATAATGACAAACCGCCTGAGCCAAAGGTTGCGCGAAGTATCGCCCTCGCTATCTTATCGCGGTACGTTTTACTTGCACCTGATCTCATATCCTCCCTCTCCCGTTTCATGCTTATCATCCTTTTCCCTCTACAGCATATCTCGCCTGCTAGGTGACAGTATTGACAGCTGCCTACACCGCATTCTGCCTACGGAAGCCGCACTCTTAACATCCTTCTCCCCCACAACCCATCGCCTCACGACCTCACCCGCAACCCAGGCTTCTAATCCTGTCTACGAAAGCCTGCTCGTTGCTTGGGGTCAGAACAGCTTGACGAACTTAAGGAATGCGAGCAAGCAGGGTTTTGTTCACGGGATACCTGTGATTTCAGTCATACGTCCGAGTTGTTTGGCTCTGCTCGAAGCACTCGCCTCATGTAAGTAATTAGGCACCGTGCAACCCACCTTTCTTCCCCGTGCAGTTCTAAGTTTTGCTTGCCTTGCCTTCTAACAGGGCTAGCTCACATTTTATTGTACTAGAAAGAGTAGTTGGAAGGAGATTGCGCCGTGGTTATTGGACAGTTGTACCTTTCCTCGCCTTCTGTTACCCAATCCTACCTGCCCTTTTTTTAAATAGGGCCCAGTGACCAAACTCGGATCTCTCTCCTGGAGAGTGCGGATACCCTCATGGATGACTTCCTCTCCTCCGCAGCAGCGGGCTTTTATCCTCTCCCCTGGCCTTTGGAGTCGCTTGAGCCCTTCCAGCGCCTCGTGGGGATTATTTTGCGTTAGTCACCCTCCTCTCTCCCCTTCCTCTTTTTGACTGAACCGTTTGCGCCAATTCTATGGAGTGTATTGTGCATAGCACGAAAGTAAGACACACAGATCCAGTTTGTTAACCCCTTCAATTCCCTCCTCAACATGAGAGGTTAGGACTGACCATCCGTAAGGAGCTGAAGACTGACATCTTT